TGCCATGGTGGACCTGCTCCTTGTTGAGCTGTATTGCAGCCAGGGTGGAAGAAGGCCTAGGATTAGACTATTACCCAGCCCTTTTTGATAAGCTTAAGGTTTCAGATGCTTTCGCATGAGTCATGCCTGCAGCAATCAACAATAGTCTATCTGGATGACTGAAATCAGGTTTATGATCTGTAAACATAAGTAGGTAACTGGTTTAATCCTGTTTTGTTAGTAGGTAAGGGGACACTTGCAACCTTCTGATTGAATTAGATTGTGGAAAGCTGAGTTGATTTAACATCTGTCTTACAAAATTGAGGAGCAGCTCACTATTTACCTGCATTTATTACCATCATCTGTAGTAAAATACAGCATAGGCATGGAAATCAAACTACTTAAAGCCTCTCGCAGCTCTACCTTTGTGGTTTTGCCTGGAACATTGCAAAGGTCACTTTTCCGTGCTGCTAATTGAAAAGGAAAGGAAAATGTTTATCAGAGAATTCAGATTCATCAAATAATTTGTGAAGTGTTTATTATCTGCAGTCATTTGCTCATTACCTTGCTGCATTTAATATTCACAGCAACGCTGTGAATTGTTTTTTTCTTGTGAATTTTTTGTTGAACTATAACAATGGCATCTAGTTTTGTTTGAACATGAGTGAAATCCAGTTGCACAGAGGTTCAATAAGTGCCAAAGGTCACACAGCTTCTAAGTGAGAGCTAAAACTAGAGTAGAAGCCTTTGACACTATCCAGACTTTCTAGGACACCACAGTGGCCTGTAAAACACTATTAACACGACTCTCAAAGAATTCACAGGAGTCGTGATGAGGTGTCAGTTCAGGACAATACTCAGAGGTGTCGGTCCTTTTCAGATATCCTGGGTAGTGACTGGAGTATGTGTTCATGAAAAAACACAAAAAGTGTTTTGAAAAAGTTTTGTCATTTTAGCAGTTAGTAATTTTGTTTATAGATTCTTAAAAACTATACCTCTGGACAATAATGACCCTTTTTGTCTAGTTTACCCATAATTACTCTACAAATTTCTACGTTATTTTTAAGATACTTAGGCTTGCTTTCATTTGGAGTCCAAAGCTTTAATCTCTGTTTCTGGAATTACAAAGTTTCTGCTATCTTTGGCCATATGGAAACTTTTTTTCCAGAAAGACTGTTTTTTAAAGAAAGTCTTTGAATCCAAACAATCTTAGGTGGTTGGTCTTAGCTAAGAGAACATTTGGTGAGCATAAATGGAATTGCTGAGTCATAATGCTTTTTTTTCTTTAAAGTATACAATCCAGTGGTTTTTAGTGTATTCACAGAGTTGTACAGTTGTCACTACAATTTAGAACATTTTCAGAAGAAACCCCTTACTCATTAGTAGTCACTTCCTCCCCGTCTCCTACTCCTAGGCAACCACTAAACTACTTTTTGTCTATAGATTTTTTTATTCAGAACATTTCCTATAAATGAATCATGTAAATACTATGTGGTGTTTTATAATTGACTTTTTTCTCTTAACGTGATGTTTTCAAGGTTCATCCATGTTGTAGCATGGATCAGAACTTCATTCCTTTTTATTATACTCATGAGGCTTTTCCTGAAGAATTGTAAGTGATGGATATATCCAGTGTTTCTATTTTGTTCTCAAAAATGTTGTTTGCTTTATATATAATAGGATAGTTTGTCATATTAAGGCTACTTCTATGATTCATTTTAGGGAAGGCATTATTAATCTGAGGAATATGGATCCCATATATAACTGGCCTTCAGGATGTCCTGAACCCTTTGTAATTATTTGCAAGATTTTATATTCCCAGGCATTTTTTGGTGGGGGAGGTTAGGGGACTGAGAACATTTAGCTTTTGTTAAAAGATAATTTCCCAAAAAAGGTAAAATCATGACACTCATACAGTTAGAAAATGAATACACACTTTATTTTACTTACAGTGTTCAAAGGAGAAGTCCAAAGAACAGATACATTTATAGATCAGGAATATTAAAATGAGTATGCAAATGGAGGCAAAACTAGTTTCTTCCATAGTGGAGAGGGAGGTCATTTGAACCTTTACTGGACATGGCAGACTTTATACGTTTATAGATTAAGATCAGTTTGCATTGCTATCAGTTATCTACAACTTCCAGACTTGTAAAATAACTGCCGTATAATCAGAATCAGAGGGATGTCCTAGACAATGTATGATTTTCCACTGGAAACACACATTTTCTCCTGCACTTTCAACAGATTATCCAGAAAGTCTGAAAGTCTTCCAAGTGTTAATTTTAAATTTAGAGTTTTACTTCAGTTTTAAAAAGCATCTCCTTTGTGACTAGATTTAGAAAAATGTTTGTATCCGTTGAGTATCAGTCGGAGACCCAGGGATAGGTCTCTGGTTTATTCTTTTGAACAGGATTATTTGTTAGAAATCTCCAGAGAAGTAGGCTTTGCATCTTAACTTAGGTTACACTTTTGGGCATATATTCAGTATTTCTCATCTCTAATATCAGCATGACTGTTGAAGGGAGGGGATTTCTATAACTAGTTTAGAAAAGTCTAGCTTTTCTAGAAAAAAAAAGTCTAGCTATCTTAACTCTGACAAAGGTAGCTAGATAATCCTATTAGTAAAAGAAGTACAGGAAGGGAGAAGCCTAGACAACTTCTTCCGCAGTTGTGGTATGCTCAGGGAAGTCAAGACTTCTCCTTTGTGTGTGAAGAACGTAGGATTATTTCCACTAGACCTTGCTTATTCTCCAGGGGGTTCTCATTTCCAGTCTTCAGAGGATAATGAACCTCTTTTACTTTGAAAGGTAACTTCTGTGCACGTGTACAGAAAGTCATCTAGCTACTGACTTTAAGAGACTCTGGGAGTTCATAGCAAATTTGGCAGCATGACATGTTCAGGTTTGCAGAGTACTTTTTCCCCACATCTTCCCTACTTCCCTCAGGCTGAGAATGTATTTACCAAGAAAACCCATGATTGCCCTTACCTCTACATCCCTCAGCCTGTTCTCTGCTTGTTCAACTTAGTTTTATGCATTTCAGTCTTCTCTGCTAGGTTAAGCTCCCTGTAGTGCCTTTCTTGATAGACATCAGAAGAGAGGTGCTCAGACTTGTTAGTTGATAGAATCAGCATCTGTCTTCACTTGAAGACAGACTTATGGTCCTGACCATAAGTAAATGAATAAAAAGTTCTCAGCAACCATTTGGCAGTCTTCGGGGCTGCCCACTTTTATGAACCCAGGAGCTTGGATTTTCTGTGAGTGCGCTCCTAATGACTGGAGAACATTGCATGGCTGTCTCTCCTTTCTGAGGCCAAGATTGTGTCTCAGTGACGGGGTGCTTTGCCCAAATACTCCAGTGTTAAGTGTAGAGCAATTAGACTTTGTAAGTGCTTGTGAACTAGTACTGAGCATGTATACTTGACTCCAGGCATGGCTGGAAGGGAAATGTGCACAGTTAAGCTTTTTGAGATGAGCTTCTCAGATACTGGATCTTTTGACTTACATAGTAGAATTTGGGGGGAAGTATATGGTTTGCTCTTTACCTCCTAAGAAATGATGACTCGGTCCCTTTAAACATTTCTATATCACACAGTCACCGTTGGTTGGTTGGAATGACTGTTTGGTTTATCGCTCAATTCTTACTTCTTTAATGACCCAAGGGAATTTTCCCTTTGAGCTTGTGATCTGTTTTTGCTGATAAACTTTAATGCCTTTTGAGGCTCTAAAGACAATAGTGTTTTCTTACCTGTTTGCTTTGCACTTTGAAGTTCTGCAGAATGTAATATGAAAGAGAATCAGATTCAGTTAATTTTTTTCCCATTTTTAGAGCAGAAGTAGAGTAAGAATAAATACTCAACTTTTAGGCTTTCTTCTGTATTTTAACTTCACTCCCTTAACTGAGTCTCAGTCACTAGAGTACCATTTGATTTGAAGACATTCAGGCGTGGATGAACTGGGTGAAACAGGTTTTTCTTTTCCTCAACAGCCCATTCCTGCTTTAAAGCTCAGATTTCTGACTCTTCTGGAAAAACTCTTGAGTGTTGAATTGTGCACTTGTATTAGAGGTGAAGAAAGTGGAAGGAAGAGGAAAACAAAATCCTTTTTTTCTCTGTAGCATTGCAGAGTGGAAGATTTTGGTTTTCTTTAGTATCTGGCCAAAGAATAAATATTAGCCATGAGTAATGCATTGATCTGTGGATTGATGTGGCTGGGCCCCAACTTTAACACTTACAGTAAAACTTGGTGGATGTCTTTTTGCCCCCGTCTTGTAATATGTTAACTCAATTATTGGGTAATTCTTTTATCAAAGAAGGGGATGGGGAGAGTAGGGGCCATGTTGTGGTGTAGAGAAAGGGTTCTTAACCAAGCAAGGATGTCTGTCACAATCACCTGGGGGAAGTTTTCCAAAATGTATATTTCTGGGCTCCACTCTGTACTTACTAAACCTCTGGGGTGGAGTGTTCTGAAGAAAGCTCCTTGGATGATTTTGAAGCATTCTACTGGTTAGCCCCCATTAAATCATGGTGAAGGGATTGTTATAATTAAGGAAAGAAGCACCATCCAGTGTGGGTCTGGAAATGTCTTCTTTCAGTGATAGTCATTTTTAGAATGTTTCTTCTGGTATAAGTTGGTAATTAAGGACATTTAATGGGGGAAAATTATCACTGCCTAATTGGCAGTTGGTTAAGTACAGTAATAGTTCTCAAAGAAGTTTTTTTGGGGGGAATGGGGGTGTGGATAGTGCCATTATGGGAAGTCTGCTTACAGAATCTTGTTCTCTTGAAGTGATTTAAGGATTGAAAGAGTTTATTACCATTGGGGAGAACCGTGGGCTAGTACCGATAGGAAAGTATCTTGTGATTGAAGAATTCTGAGTTCGCTGGACTGAGTCACTCCATCACGTCATAATCCTGGCCTCACAAAAACGTTAAGAGAATAAATCCTAAGTATAAAAAGCGCTGAGATTGTGTTGAGCGGAAAGTGACCTTAGCGTTAACCCCCTCCACTGCATTACAGAGCCGCATTCTAAATTTAAGGAAGCCAGGAGTGAAACCACTCTAAGACACTGAGGTCGTGATCCATTTAGAGGGATGCGGAGCCAATTTAGTGCGCCAAGCCTTTGAAAAAAGAAGGGAGAAATAGAAAAGAAATGTAAGTGTATCACAAGTAATAAGGTGTTAAGTATTATTTTGGAAATTTTTGTTTTGATTTTATATCTTTCTGTCGCTGTGCGTGCTAGTTTGTGTTGTAAAATACATTTCTGTGGGACTGTATTGGAAAAGTTTGAAACTCTTTGGTCTAAAAAGTGACATGCCCTGGGACTTCCCTGGTGGCACAGTGGTTAAGAATCCACCTGCCAATGCATGGGACACGGGTTGGAGCCCTGGTCCGGGAAGATCCCACATGCCGCGGAGCAACTAAGCCCATGTGCCACAGTATGGAGTCTGCACTCTAGAGCCCGTGAGCCACAACTACTGAAGCCTGTGTGCCTAGAGCCCGTGCTCCGCACCAAGAGAAGCCACCACAGTGGGGAGCCCGTGCACCACAACAAAGAGTAGCCCCCGCTCGCCACAACTAGAGAAAGCCCACGCGCAGCAATGAAGACCCAACACAGCCAAAAAAGCCCAAACCATATGCTTAAAAAAAAAAAAAAGAAAAAGTGGCAGGCCCCAAATTTACCAAATTTGTAGACTGCTACTATCGTGTTCAGGAAAGTGTCTTGCTCCCTTGAAGTGATTTGGGGGGTGAGAGGGTTCAGTATGAGAATAGTAGGCTACCAAGCTCCCACACATTCCAGCAGCTGCCTTTTGTCTAGTAATGATTAGGATTATTGAGTACTATTTTGATGTCTTTTAGGTATCTGCTAAAACCTAAATCTTTAGATTGAAGTGGGATGAATAAAAAGAGAAAGTCTGGTTAGTTTATTCATCCTTATTTGATAGTAGCTTCTTCAAAGTAGTTAATATTTTAAATCTTCACACTAAAGTTGATCTTTTTTCCTTTAATATTATACTTTTAAAAGATTTATGGTATCCTTACTCTCATTTTATATACATTCATTGGGCAAAGCATTTTGTTGTTTTTCCTCTAGGGGAATACGTTTCCAATTTTATCGAAGCGTGAAGGAAAGAATGCTTTTCGTTGTGGAAGTTTTACCAAAACTACTTTTCTATTAAGCGAATATTGGAGATAAACAGCCACAAACACCCACACACACCCACAGACACACACGTACACAGACACTTTATTTTGTGAATATTCTGCGTCCCTTCTAGATAAAGAAATGAAGGCACAGGTGGGTGAAATAATTTGCCTGGAGTTGCACAGTAAGCTAGTGGCCTTCGTAGACGACCACTTATGGTTCTTGTATTTCCAGAGACACAATGTAGAGATTAAGTTGAAATAGACAGAAGCCTAAGTATTGTAATTATAAATAAATATGCAAGTGTATATAGACAAAATATATTTCTATAAGAAGAAAGATGCGGTGGGAAACAGTAATTATAATTATATTAAGTTCTCGTGCCATCTCTGTCTAGATGTTTTTTCTGTAGTCATGACCTAGCAGTACAATTTTGGTTTGTTGTATGTTACCATATATCCAAGGTATATTCTGCCAGGAGCATAAATTGTGGAAAGAAAATTCTTGGGATAGCGCTGGATTGTAATGTGTTTAGTGATCCTCTACCTGTGACACTGAGAGTGAAGAATTGAAAGAGTAGTAAATACTGGCAGGAGGCGTGGGTTCCTAGTCTCCACTCTGACACAAGCCCGTCTGCATGAGCTGAGGTACGCCGTGCTGCTTCGGGGCCTCTGTAAAGTGAAAATGTGGGCTTGATCTCTAAAGTTCTCTTCAACATTTAGATTGTATACTTCCCCAGGGCTGGAATATTGCATCAGAACCCAGCCTGGGGTTGGTGCTGGTTGCAAGGCCCCAAGGAACTGCCTCATCCTTTTTTCCGAGGAGATAGCACACGTTACCCCACAGAGCCCTATAGTGCAGCGAGTTGTCAGTGTTGTGAGGTGCTTCTTTGTTGGGACTGAGCCTAGGTTGTTTGTAGTAACCTAGAAGGACCTTGGAATGAGGCCAGGAGATATAATTTCTGTGACCAACTGGTTGCCCATTCAAAAAGCTTGCTAGGACCCATCCAAGTACAGTATCATTCTGTCACTGGAGTAAGAGAATATAGAAATAGATCTCCTTGAGAGGTGTTTCTCTATATCTCCTCTTAAGGAGATGTATTCAAGGACTCCCATTATCTTCTCATAGCAATTACAAAGAAAATGTACTTCTGCTGAATATAATTTTGTAAATGTTAGCAAGGAATGCCTTCATATCTTAATAGGCTTTTTAAAAATGGAAGTAGTTTGCATGGGCTGATTCTTTGCTCTTTCCCTAATACTAGTTATGTTACTCGTTTGTTTAGTCAGTGCTGTGATAATATCTACAGTCATCTTTTGCAATTGGTAACCTCTATTTTCTGGGTGAACCAGGAACTAGAATCACCAGAGGAAAAGCTGATCTGTATGATTGTTCTTCCGTCATCCCATTCATACACACCATTCAACCATTTGGTTTGATCACAGCTTTAACACTAGAAGATTCTCTATAATAGTTGAAATTATGACATACCTTCAATGATGGTAGACTCCTCTGGTCTTTCTCGGGTCTCGACCAGCACTGCCACTGCTGTGCAGGATTGAGATTGTTGATAGCAACAGTGGGCTCTAGGGAATGGCCACCAAGAACTATGAGGGGGTTGCAGATAAACTGTGTTTCCATGGATAGCCCTCTGGGAGCCCAGTACTTGTCTAATGCTAATTACCTTATACTGCAGCCTAATTGCTAAGTGTATAAATGCTTTCAACAAACATTAGTTGAGCACCCGTCCTCCTTCTGAGCTTTCATGCTGCTCCTCGAACACTGCATGTAGATATCCAACAGGAACATAAACCTACAGCATTATCTTGTTCTCAGAATCTCCTCTACCATCTTCAGCTTCCCTTCCTCTTCTAGTCTGCCATGGTTAACGCTGTCACCACTTAGCCAGCCTCTCAAACTTGAAGATCTGGAATTATTTTCCCCTCTCCATACTTTCTATATCTAATAAGTTATCAAACACTGTTCTAAAAATGTGTTTCAAATCCATACCATGTTTTGGCCCAGATACCATACTGCTTAAGGTGAAACCCAGTTTATTTCTCCCCTGGACTTTTTTTAAAAAATTAATTAATTAATTAATTAATTATTTATTATTTTTGGCTGTATTGGGTCTTTGTTGCTGTGTGCGGGCTTTCTCTAGTTGCGGTGAGCGGGGGCTACTCTTCGTTGCGGTGCACGGGCTTCTCATTGCAGTGGCTTCTCTTGTTGCGGAGCACAGGCTCTAGGCGCGCGGGCTTCAGTAGTTGTGGCACGCAGGCTTCAGTATTTGTGGCTCACAGGCTCTAGAGCACAGGCGCACGGGCTTAGCTGCTCCGCGGCATGTGGGATCTTCCCGGACCAGGGCTAGAACCCGTGTCGCCTGCATTGGCAGGCGGATTCTTAAGCGCGGCGCCACCAGGGAAGCCCCTCCCCTGGACTGTTTCAACAGTCCTCTTAACTAAAATTTTTGTCTCTGATTTCTGTCCTCCTTCTATTCCTTTCCCGTGAAGTTATCTTAAAGAAAAAAAATTGCTCTCCTGATTAATACCCATACCTTCCGTTTTGTTTTTGTTGTTCTGCTATTTGCTTTTTTCTTTTTTTTTTAACTCAACATCGTGTTCTGGAAATTTTTCCATGTGGTTCATTTAAATCTGTCTTTTTTAAAATATATAAATTTATTTATTTATGTATATATATTTTATTTTTGGCTGCATTGGGTCTTTGTTGCTGTGCGCGGGCTTTCTCTAGTTGGGGCGAACGGGGGCTACTCTTTGTTGTGCTGCATGGGCTTCTCACTGCAGTGGCTTCTCTTGTTGTGGAGCATGGGCTCTAGGTGTGCAGGCTTCAGTAGTCGTGGCTCACGGGCTCTAGAGCGCAGGCTCAGTAGTTGTGGCGCATGGGCTTAGTTGCTCTGCGGCATGTGGGATCTTCCCAGACCAGGGCTCGAACCCGTGTCCCCTGCACTGGCAGGCGGATTCTTAACCACTGCGCCACCAGGGAAGTCCATAAATCTGTCTTCTTTTTAATGCTGCATAGTATGGGTACATAAAATGTATATATTATAGTTTAACCATTTATCAATGGACAGTTATTTATATTTCTTCTTTTGCTGCTACAAAGAATACTGAAGTGAACGTCCTTGAACATGTACATAGGTGCAATTATATAGATACCAAAAAGAATTTCTGGGTAAAATTGAATATACATTTAAAATGTTAATAGATACTGACAAATCACTTTACAAAAAGTACCTATCAATTTATATTTCCAATCTCTATGCTTTTTTTTCCCAAGACCATTTAAAATCTGGACCTAGTGTATTTCTCCCAGCCTCAGTTCTCTTGTAACTTGATGTGTTCACTCATTTACTTGGTCACTGTCAAGCCACTCTCCAAGCTTTAATTCAGTACAAATTGTTTGCCAGGCACCATGCTATATGTTGAGGGTTTAGTGCTGGAGAAGACAGATATGGTCTCTGCCCTCATCTAGCCTGTGCTCTTACTACACAGGCCTTTTTGCCATTCTCAGACTCTTTTTATGCATTTGCAGCTATTATTCTGTCTTCCTGGTATGACTTTTTTTTTCTTTTAATTTTTCTGCCTAGAGAATTTTTTTTGATCATTGTTAGATTTTATCCTCTGTCATATCTTCCTTATCTCCCCTCAGGTAGAGTTAGATAGGCCTTCCTTAGTGGTCTCTCTTAGCACTTCATTTACATCCTTTTTATAGTGTTTATCCTGAAGAGTTCCAATTACTTGTTTATATATGTGTGTGCCCATGTGTGTCTGCATGTGTATGTATGAACCTCTCTCATTAGATTGTAAGCTCAGTAAGGGCAAGAACTTAGCATATATACCTTAATGTTCCCCCAGCTTAATGCCTTAAACACTGGAGAAGCTTCATAAATGTTGAATAAGTGAGTGAATGGCAAACTGAAGACGAACTTATTTTTACAGGGCACCCGGTGGCTTGTGAATATGGCTGGGATCCGGTCAGTCTTCAGGGACCTAATCATGTTGTAAAGGAGATGAGAAACAGATGAGTAGACAGCAAGGCACATTGTGATAAGCTCTGTGTAGAGGCACAAATGAATGCTTGACGAGAATTTAATGGGGGAGATTAATTCTCATGAGTTGGGTATTCTGGTAACTTCATGGGAGAAGATTTTTTCTTGGGCTGTGTATTGTGAGGGATACACATAATGATAAGATATGGTTCCTGGCTATAAGAGTTTTCGTCAAATAGGGCCTTAGAGGAGAGATTGGCAGGCTATGGCCTACGGGCCAAATCTGGCCTGCTGCCTGTTTTTGTATAGCCCATGAGCTAAAATGATATTTTAACTTGAAATTGTTTTTATAAAAAGAATATTTTGTGATATGTGAAATTACATGAAATTCAAATTTTAGCATCTGTAATTAAATTTTGTTGGAACACAGCCACGTTCATTTCTTTACCCGCTATTTTGTGACTGCGCTAGCGCTACAGCAGCAGGGTTGAGTGGTTGTGACAGAGACTTTTGGCCTGCAGCGCCTAAAATACTTACTATCTGGTCTTTTACGGAAACAGTCTGCTGCCTTTTGTGTTAGAGGTTGGGAAAGATTCAAGTAGAGAAGAAGAGAAGGACATTCATGTTGAGAAGATTAGTTGAGTGGGACAGTGAATACTGCAGTCATCTAGAAACTTTAGAGCTGAAATGATGATCTAGCTTAACCTTTTATTTATTTATTTTATTTATTTTTGGCTGCGTTGGGTCTTCGTTGCTGTGTGCGGGCTTTCTCTAGTTGTGGTGAGCTGGGGCTACTCTTCGTTGCGGTGCGCGGGCCCCTCATTGCGGTGGCTTCTCTTGTCGAGCATGGGCTCTAGGTGCGCAGGCTTCAGTAGTTGTGGCATGCGGGCTCAGTAGTTGTGGCTCCTGGGTTCTAGAGTGCAGGCTAAGTAGTTGTGGTGCATGGGCTCAGTAGTTGTGGCTCGTGGGCTCTAGAACGCAGCAGGCTCAGTAGTTGTGGCGCATGGGCTTAGTTGCTCCGTGGCATGTGGGATCTTCCCGGACCAGGGCTCGAAGTGGTTAAGAAGTGATTCTTAACCACTGCACCACCAGGGAGGTCCAATTAACCTTTTATTTTACAGATAGAAGATCAAAAACGCTGTCAAAGTCCACTTGTCTGTTAAGGGGCAGTGTGCACTGGAGTTCCTAGCGCAGAAGCAGGATGATAAGATTATTGCTGGGGTAGGGCCAGATCATGAGTGGCCTTGCCCTTGAAAAATGAGTTGAAGAGCAAACTAAGAATAGACTTCCTTTCTCTCTTTGAATGTAATATTTCTTTTTTTCTTTTGTATTTCTAGAAGGCCTTTGAGCCCTACTTCGAGATTTTGGAAGTGTATTCCACAAAGGCCAAGAATTATGTAAACGGGCATTGCACCAAGTATGAGCCCTGGCAGCTAATTGCATGGAGTGTCGTGTGGACTCTGCTGATAGTCTGGGTATACGAGTTTATCTTCCAGCCAGAGAGTAAGTATACTGTCCCCCCTGTAAAGATACAGTGGAGTTACACTAGCTTTGGAACTGATGGCTAAGGGACTGTACTAATTTCTTGTCTGGTTGGTTTGGCTCTGATTTTTAAAATCTGTTTAAATAGAAGGGACATTGCCTTCTGACCGGTAGAATTTTAATAGGACTTGTGTAACTGTAACTGTTCCATTGATTTTTCTGGGTTTGCAGTTTACATTAAAACCCCTGAGAGATTAGTCCTGGTAAGGATCCACAGAGTATGGCTTAAACCCTCTTCACTTTCAGCTTCTTGCCTAGAACATAATTGTGTCACCTGGAGTTCCCCAAGCATGAGTTTATTGCTTTCATTTTAGGCCATTGTTTCAATAAAGATCATGTGACATTGGAACAGCACTCATGCAGTGACCATTGGAATGTCTGCTGTGTGTCAGGCACTGCCAGGCTCTAGGGATCCATACATGTAATACAGGGTCCGTGTCCTCTTGGAGTTGAACCTCTGCTGTCAGGGGACAGTACACTTTGAGCTTCCTGGGTAGTGACTCTGGGAGCCAGACTGACGTGAGAAGAGGAGGCTGCCTCTCAGGGGGTGTGGAAGATGAGAAGTCTATTAGTGGTCAGTTTGAACATCCTCCATCCTTCCTCAGATCCTGCCCACACTCCCTGCACCCCTCCAACCTCCCAACCGCCTGGTTGTGTGGTACCTCCTTACAAATTCTTTTCCCCTGCAGGCTGTGTTTTGTAAGTAAATGGTAGGAGAGGTGGTGGGTGCTCTGTACACTCCCCTGCACCCCTTCCTCACCCTTAGTAGGGTATCTGAGTTAATAACATTGACGAGAGTTGCTTGCCATTTCTCATTTGTGTAAAATTTCCATAACTATTTGCTTCCCCGATAACATCTGTTTGAAGGGGCTCTTTAACTGAATACTGTTTCTGCTTTTCTTCCTCTTCCCCCAGAAAAGTCAACTTAGAGGCCAGATTCTGTTTCCTCTCTTTACCATGCAGACAGCCATCCAGCTGTTCTAGTAACATTGCCGAGTTATGGCGGAGTCAACGTTGCACTTAGTTAAAATGGAAATGAGACGTGACTGCCCTGTCTGAAGTTTAGCTCACTCCAGCTTTAAAAACCCTGTCCTCAATTTCTGCTCCTAGTCCGTGCAAGATTTTCTCATAAACTCTGACAAATTAGACAGACTAACCCTTGTGCTTTGTTTGCTCCATGGTTTGGAAACGGACGCAACCCCTGTCCCTTCTGCTCAGGCTTATTCCTTTCCTGGGAAGCATTTGATTCAGTGCTGCCCACCATCCTGTCCGATTCCAGAGGCCTCTAAGGAGTAGCAGTACATGTACTTCTCTTTTTTTTATTGTGATAGAATATACATAACATAAAATTGATCATTTCACCCATTTTTAAGTGGACAGTTCAGTGGCATTAGGTGCATTCACATTGCTGTGCAGCCATCCCCACCGTCCTTCTCTAGGACTCTCTCATCATTGTAAGCTCTGTACCCATTAAACACAAACCTCCCACGACTCCCTCTCCCCGGCTCCTGGCAGCCACCATTCTGTGTACCTTTCCTTTTAAGATGGTGCATTTGTAAATCCAAACTAAGGCCAGAGATCTTGAGGTTTATATTTCTTTGCTGTGATTAGTATTAGCTTTAGGTTTTCACTTCTGTTTTCCATTGTGCAGTCCTCGGTGCCCGTGTGCATTTTGCTTAACCGGTAGTTGAAGCAAGCCGTCGTAGGTCTCAGGTACTTACTTGCCTTTAGCGTTCAAAAAAGAATGTGCTGGCTTCTGAGTACACGATGAGAAAATTAACAGGAGCAGTGTGTTAATGGTATGTGGCATCTGAATCTTCGTGAACTCCAAGCCATTGTGGTTGTTTTATTTTTAATAACATTTTTTCTTATTATAAAAGCAGTACATGTTCATTGTATAAAATTAGGCAATGTAGCTAAACCATAAGAAAAAAATTCAAATCTTATTACCTAGAGATAACCACCATTTATGTATCTGTATCTCTTTCTGTATCTGAATCTGCTTGAATCATATAAAATGTAGTTTTTGTCGGTCAAAAATTGTTGAATATTGGCAATTTCATATTGCTTTAATACATATACACACACAACACATTTTTTATTTTGTAACTTCCAACTTGAATTTTAGACACAGATAGAAATGTCTTCCCGCCAGAGATCGGAGGTAATTTTGATAGAACTGCCGATTTCTTCAGCACCTTGCTCATGTAGAAGTATTCCACGTATTACTGAACATCCAGTCACTTTTAGTATGTTGCCTTAGAGGAGTCTAAGGTCCGTCTAGTGATAAATTTTGCTGATCTTCAAATTCCGGGTACCCTTCTGAGGGGGGAGGGTAATTGCGGAACACAGGACAGACACGGGTAGATAAGAACTGGAGGTGGCAGGAGGGTGGGGCCGGGCAGGGCTGGAACCCTCTAAGGTGTGATCTCTCCTTTAATCCTGCTCCATCCTTACTAGCTCATGTTGACTTAAACTGTGGGACTGTCTGCAGTTCATCAACAGAAATCTGAGTTCTGTGGTAGGAGGAGGTTTCTAGCCATGGCACCTTGGGCAACACCCTTAAGCCTGTTGGCCTGTTTCCTCGCAGTAAAATGGGAGGATCGAGTGGCATAAGTGGTGTGAAAGGAATTTGTAAACTGTAAAGAGCCAAGCATTGTCGTTCTTACACTGGCATTTCTTATTGTATTACCTTAACACATTCTCGTTACTTTCTTTTCCTGTACCTCTGGGAAATTTTGCTTTTGAGATTATCTTTTTAGGTCTTGACCATATAATCTTTTCATTCTCAATTTCTCCATCTCTGGTCTGTATTTTCTTCTTTTTACCCTATACCATATTATCTCACAACTTCCACAAAATTCGTTTACTCTTTTCTCCTCCACCTGTGGTCACATCAATGTACTTTTGGACACCTGACTCAGCTTGCTGATTTCTAGACCTCTTTCTAGCTCATTAATTCATTACTTCATCTGTTAAATAAGGAAGTGGTTCTGAATCTTTACAGCTTTAACATTGTTAGAAATAATCAAATAACAAGCAGCTTAACTATCCAACAGTAAGTTACGCTCATTTGATGGACTACTGTGGTAACACTGAAAAATACGTTTAGGAAGAATTTTTAATAATGTAGAAAATGCTGTAAATGAGAAGAGGGTATGACATTGTACATACAGTAAGATCTCAGGACTGAAAGGAAATACTCCAAAATTTAAACAAAAAGTAACAGTGGTTTCAGTCCCTTTGTCTTAGTCAGTCTGTGTCTTAGATAGTGGGTTTTGTCCCAGACATTTACAGAGTGTTGACCTCAGTGCTAGGCACTTAGGGATGCAACCTAAGCAAAAACAATTAGTAAAGATGCAAGGCATCATATAATAAATACCCAAAAAAGGTACAGACACATTCTTTGGCTGTTGAAAGCACCTTCTGGCCAAGGAAATTGGATTTCCCAGATCTCCTAGGAAAGCAGTGAAGTTCATTCAGTTCATGCCTTGTATCTTTGCAGAAAGTCTACGTGTAGATTCCTTAGAAACTCACTTGGGATAACTGAAAATTCCTGTTGTGCATCTGAAGCAGTGTAGAGGCCTGGGAGTCTAGGACTAGAAAAACAAAGACTTCAGTTAAATCCCCGCCCGATCACTGATCTCATCTGTGGCCTTGAGCAAGTTAACGCTTTGATCCTTAGCTGCCCTTGGATAGTAGGTAGTGCCTTCTTTGCCAACCTCAGAATCTTGTTGTCAGAGTCAGTTGAGATATACTGAAGTGAATTCATTAAAAGGCACGACTGTCTATTTAGATGCCATGTATTTATAACTATTGTAATTGATAGGATCAGAATTCCATATTTGTCCTGTGTGCTGCCCAACAGAATGGAGTCTGATAGGTGTCCGTGATATTTGAAGGCCTTTTTAGGTCCAGAAAATGTTGTTGGGATGTGTGTTGGATGAGAGACTGGAGCATAGATCCTGAAGAAAAGCACGGGTTGGGCATTTGTTTTGAGGGAGGGGAGAGAAATGTTGGGCATCCAGAAACCTTGGGAAGGTAAGGAGCTCTGCAATATACTTGACCCAGCAATTCTCTTTCTGGGAATTTATCCTGTAGGTATACTGTCACGTACACATACGGTGTGTGTTACAAGGTTAGCTATTTCAGCATGGTTTGTGATAGCAAATATTAGAAACAACCTAAGTTTCCATCAGGAAAGGGCAGGTTAAATAAACTAGGGTACATCCATCTAATGGAATACTCTACAGGTATAAAAATGAATGAGGAAGCACAGATCTTTAAGAGAATATTGCTAAGTAGAAGAACAAGGTCTAGTACAGTGCTGGAGTATGCTACCTTTTGTGTAAAAGAGACAAATAAGAACATACCTCTATTCTTACTTGTATATGCATAAAGAAATTCTAGAAGGGTATCTAGAAACTAGTAGTAATATTAACCTGGGGGTAGGATGAGGGTCTGGGGGATAGATGAGAGAGTGTGTGTGTTTACTTTTTTATTTTTGAACCATGTAAATGTATTACTTATTCAAAAATTAAAAGGTTTTTTAAAAAAGGAAAGAAACTACCTTTGCCATCTGAGGGCAGGTGAGATTGCGGAGGACATGTTGAATAGTTCATACATTATGACTATCAGGTCATATAATATGTGGAAATTTATTTGGATAATAGAACCATTTGTTTCTTTTAGGTTTATGGTCAAGGTTTAAAAAGAGATGTTTTAAGCTTATCCGGAAGATGCCTATTATTGGTCGTAAGGTAAGCAGAATCCTGTAGATTTTCCCTACCGCCTCCTACCCCCATGGTCATCAGACCTCTTTCTGTATAGTCACTGAAACTAGAAGTTCAAGGGGGCTGGGTGAGTTTTGTCCCCCACCTCCAAGAAACATTCGACAATGTCTGGAGACATTTTTGGATATCACAAGAGGAGGTGGGTGCTGTCGGCATCTAGTGGATAGGGGCCAGGGATGCTGCTGAACACCCTCCAGTGCACAGGTCAGCCTCCACAGCAGAGGACTGGCTGACTCAAAATAGCAGAAGTGCCAAGAATGAGAAGGCTGACCCAGCCCTTTCTCCAACGTATCTGACCGAAGGAGAAAGATGCTATTCAGGAGAAATTTTGAAATTCGACAACCTGACAGAAGTGACATGAAGCTTTGGAGCAATATTTGGCTGAATTTGGATACTTATCAGGGATTGAGTGCTTACATGGTTTAGATCAGGGTTGGCAAACATTTCCTGTAAAGGGCTAGGTATGAAGCATTTTAGACGTTGCAGGCCCTGCCATGTCTGCCACAGCTCCTCACCCCTGCCCTTGCAGAGGGAAAGCAGTGATAGTACGATGGGTAGAGGAATGAGCCTGGCTGTGTTCCAGTGAGATTCTCTTTACAAAAACAGGCACAGGCCAAATTCAGCCTATAGTTTGATTTGGCCTGTAGTTTGCTGATCCCAGGTTTAGAAACTTAGAGCAGAGCCATTCTCTTGCTCTTTGTTCATGTCTGTAGTCTAGTACGTTCCCTTCACTGGATCCTCTCTATCCTCGTCCACGCTCAGGATAAGACAGTCACGACTGTGCCCTTCCCACAGATTCTTTATCACAGGTGAAAATAAACAGGGCAGGCCCCACTGCAGGCTCTAAGGAACGCACATGATCCTTGATGGCTTCATCTTCCTTGCTTCCCTGCCCTGCCCCTCAACTTTGCTGCAAGCTTTCTTTCACTTTTGGCTTTCAGTTCCTTTTCCCCTTTCCTGGCCAAACCAGAAAAGATGGCCTTTGACCATCTTTTAGCCTTTGACTGAAGTCCATTCAGACCACTGTGCTAAGTCTCCCAGAACTTTGTATTTTCAGGTTCATTTCCTGTGGGGAAGTGGAAGTAATAACTAGGCTGGAGAAGGAGCATGAGGGCTTTTATTTGACCTCTAATCATATTAAGTCCTAAAATTAAATCTACTTTAGTCCTTAGAAAATGAAGGGTAGGGGAGAGGGAAGATAGAAAGGATGGACTGATCACAAAGGATAATAGCTTTTCCCTGTATTATTCCCTGTATTTTTTCTGCCTTTATTCATCACACTTTTCTCCTTCAGTTTCAGATTTTGAGACAAATAAATGCTGGGGTTCCAGAACCCATTAAATGTATATGATAACAGAATTGGAAGGTACTTAGAAACTGTATAATCACCTTTCAATTTTTAGATGCAGATTTTGAGGCGCAGAGACAAAAGTTACTTGTTTTGAGTGAGTGTGTGTGTCCCTCTGTCATTCATTGAGCACCTGCTCAGGGTCAGGTACTATTCTGGGTGCTGGGGACACAGTGGTGAACAAGGCCAAGTCCTTCCCCCATAGAATCTATATTTCAGTACTAAGGAAAGACAGAAAATGAGTGAGTAAACAAATACATAAGAATTTCACTTTGAAATAAATGCTGTGAAGAAATTAAAATGCAGTGGAGGTTCTGAGGCAAGAATTGGGGTGAGGATGTGTTTGCTGTGCTTTCTAACCTGCCTCTCTATCATTTTTGTCTGCTTTATTACAGCAGCAGCATCTATGCGTGGAAGCTCAGCTTTCATAGTTCTGGTTACATTTATGCAGCATAATTCTTTATTTACAACTTAAAAAATATCTTCATGTCCATCACATGCCCTGGCATTGCCCAGGAGTGTGGACTCTGCTTCCTGCCAATGTCTGCGTGTTAGACTTTGCAGACATGTTTTAAAGGAGAGGCTTTCCCTGTGGTTTCATTGAGGGCCACGTCTGAGAAGACCCTCTTGGATTCTAATCATCCATGGCACTTTTCATCACCTGACTTTTAGTTTCTGACTGTGATGCTAAAAATAAGCTCAGGAGAACAGGACACACACACACACCCCATTCCCGGCCTAAGTTTGTTTTGTTCACTGTGTATCTCTGGCCCACAGTAGTAGTTCAGCAAATATTTATTAAGTAAATAAGTGCATGAATGAAAGAAAATGTCTGATGAGGATGGAAACGAAATAACCATAGCTGATAAGTGATGTAGCAGAAAGGACTTCAGCTCCTCCTAGCACTTAAGAGTCAAGCAGTGCAAAGCTGTCAACCTGAGGAGACAGGCGGCAGCCTCCCTGGCTCTTCCCAGCATGTCTTGGGCTTCTGTGTGGGGATTTGTGTAGGGCCTCCAGATGCCTGGTGTGCTCTGGGCATGCCTTGGTGAAGGAGCTCATCCCTTGCTCAAGCACCAGAATCTGTTTTACTGCTGCTTGGCCTGTTTTCTGGCTACTGTTCATGGTTCTACCTTAGTTTCTTTGGTGCACACACCGTAGCTGCTGCCAAGGGTCGAACAAGGTCCAAATATCGCCCTCAGAGAAGTGCTGACTTGGTGGGGTCATCGTGGCAGAGGAAAAGGGTGGGGGTGGAGTAGGGAATTGAGTGTCTCTTTGACCTTCAGAGAGAAAGCTGACTTTTCAGACTTCTAAGAGACTATTGCCCAGGCCAGAAAATAGCTGAATGGTCAAAATGTCACCACACCTTTTTAAGAAAAAATACCATCCTTATTCTGAAGCACTTGTGCAGTGCCCAGCGTTGAGCAGTCGGTTTGGTGTTGTAACTGGTTCTTCTACTCTCCGTGCTGTATTCTTCTAGCTCCCTGTTAACTTTATCTTCCTTATCTTTGGAGATCCAAGATAAGTTGAACAAGACCAAGGAAGATATTAGCAAGAATATGTCATTCCTGAAAGTGGACAAAGATTACGTGAAAGCCCTGCCCTCTCAAGGAATGAGTCCGGCTGCAGTTCTGGAGAAGCTCAAAGAATACAGCTCTATGGGTACGATTCTCAGCAAATATATGCTCCCTGCTTCCTTAATGTGGCTGCTTATTTGGTCATCATTTGATGTTGGCAGAGGTTAAGAAGAGTTCATCCTGGGTGCTTCTATATTCAGGAGGGCCCACTCCCTGTCTCAAAGGCTGAATTTCGTATTTTAAAAACTGTATTTATATAGAGTCATCCTTCACCCATAAAGCAAACAAATCTCGGAGATGGTGGAACTTGGTTCCATTTTCTTTTCTAAGCCTGAATAAAATAGACCGATTTGTTTTTTGGAAAGAGAAAGTATCTAATAAAATGAAATACAGATTCATTATAGAAATTGTGAAATCTGTAAAGAGGCACAGAAGAAAATAACAAGTCAGTATAATTTCATCCTCAAAAGAAACACAGATGATATATATGTATCATCTCAGAATGTTAATAGTGTCTTGTGTAATAAGCACACACACGTACATATATGCATGAGCACGTGTGGGAAGGATAAATGAACTAATAAGTAGCTTTATGTTTAAGAGTACAGCCCGGATCCACTCAGCCTGGATTCACATCTGGTTCAGCCACTTAAAATATGGCCTTGGGTTGGTTACTTATCTTCTCTCTGCCTCTGTTTCTGTCTCTCTACAATGAGGATAATAACAATGATACTTATCTGAAAGGATAATTGTAGAGATTAAATGAGATGATGCATGTAAATATATAATACCTGGCTTATAATAAGTGCTCGATAAGTGTTAACTATTATTAACACAAACATGTTTGTTACAAATTAAGATCATATTACAAATACCTTTTAAAA